GTGACATTCAACCTGCTCAACGAACTCAATCTGTCATTTCAGGGGAGATCGACAACTGTGTTCAAGTCGGCAGATAAAGTGGCTGCATTCAAAGCCAAACTGGAATTATGGGGGCGACGAGTGAACATAGGGACTTTTGACATGTTTCAAACACTAGCAGACATTTTGAAAGCGACTGAGCCAGGGCCTTCTTTCTCCCAGCTGGTGCATGATCACCTATCTCAGCTTTTAGAAAGAGTTTGAGCATTACTTCCCGACCACAAAAGACCCCCGAACTGGGAAGGAATGGATCTGCAACCCATTTGTGAATAAGCCAGGTGAATCGATTTTGTCCGTGCTAGAAGAGAATCAACTGCTTGAGATTGCAAATGATGGAGGTCTTAAAGTATGTTTGAGACAAATTCAAATCTCCATACGTTCTGGATTAAAGTGAAGGCGGAATATGCACGGAGGGAGCGGCTGTCATGACTGGACGGCTTTCTGGTTTCACTACTCAAGTCAACGAGGTCGCTTCTGAATGTGAGTCTACGCACTGTGTCATCCATAGAGAAATGCTGGCTAGCCGAAAAGCACTGAAAAGCCTGCTTCCATTTCCAACATCCTATCTTTGTGAAGCAGGGTTTTCTGCAGTGACAGCAACCAAAACGAGATTATGGAGTATACTGGACATAAGCAACACACTTCGGGTGTCACTGTCTCCCATCACCCCCAGATGGGACCATCTAGCTACAGGAAAACAAGCTCAGGGCTCCTACTGATTCTGCCTTATGGTGAGTTGCATAATTATTTCATTATATTACAATGTAATAATAATATAAATAAAGTGCACAATAAAAATGTGATTGAATCATCATGAACCCCCCCCTCCCACCCCGGTTCGTGAAAACAATTCAATTGTCTTCCACGAAACAGGTCCCTGGTGCCAAAAAGGTTGGGGACCGCTAGTCTAGGGTGTATTACCAATCGTGATAATACAATGATTCTCGCTTTCACTTTTACGGATTATGTTTTAGGGTAATTCTATCAGGTCTCAGAATTCAGATCTCACCGAAGGATACAGTTCTTATAATTAAGATTATTATGCATGAACTTAAGAAGGAACCACTCGGACTCTTCTATGTTAAGCAACTTTAATATCTAAAAACACTCTAATATGCGAACACACCTATGATCGGAATCGTCAACACCGTACTCCTGAAGATCCGTACAATTAACCATCAATGGTTACGTTTGTTAAAACTGAGTAACAGAACAATTGGCAAACTCCTCCGAGGAGCGTGACCATACATGGCGATAGGAAAAGTCCTTAAAAAATTACAATATTCATACCAAACATGCTAACGAAACATGTGCCCAATAGCAAAAGTAGACATCAATGAATTAATTTGTAAGATTAAGCAATTAACGAAATGTCCTGAAACAATAGTGTGAGTACTAGTGTGCCTGTTTGGCTAACAGATGCTCATCAATTGGCTAATCGGACATCAATACATTTGCGGCAAGATTATGAATTGATAAGGTTATGCAATTAATGAAAACATGACTAAAATACTTCTAAATTACCGTATTCATGTAACTCAAGGGACAAAACAATGCTTTTCACGATCAACTAATAGTTAATGCACCACCTTGTGAAGGCAACCCTTTTCAAAACACAAAGATAACTTTTTGGAACAATCTTATTAGTACCAATATGGGCTTTATGTGTGTGGGTGTGTGTTGTCTTCTTACTAAATGTTGACTTAGCGGCTTCTGAGGTGCTGCGTTCCTTGTACCGAAAATTCCTCAGGTCCCCAGCTTGGGCGCGGGGGTGGAGTGTGTTTGAACACATGGCGCTCTCGGCTGCTTTGTCAGTCTCTCTCCACCACTGCGGTGGTTGCCGAGTCGGCACGATGGTCACGCTGTCGGCGGTGGCCCGTGCTGGTAGGGATGATGGGTCCGGCTCCGCCTGCTTTGATGTACGCAATGATCCCGTCGCTAGACACCGCTCGCAGCTCATCCGCTGGTTGACGCACGTCACCCCCCTTGGCACCAGACACTTTTGATCCTTGTATACTGTGAAGCGACTTGGAGAGACAGCGCCTGTCGTCTCCCCCCCCCCCCCCCTTTTCAAAAGTCTTCTTCCAGTTGTCTGTACAACTCGTGCTGCACAGAGGACACGCTACAGATCAAGTTATATCGTTCCGTGTCAGTCTCTGATCCGATCCTCAACTAAACTTCGCCTTCTTGGTTCTTTCGGTAAAGTCATGTAGAAGGGAAGTAATAAAATAATAAAAATAAAACATAATAAAATAATTCTCACGACGTTTCGGCCACAACGCAAGCAGCCGTCCTCAGGTGAAAACCAGGTCTGTCGAGGCGACAGCATCTGAATGAAACAGCACACGAGCTTGGAGCATATATATAAGCTGGATTGGAAGGGGGGGAAAGGGCGCCTTGACAAAATAATTTGCATATCAAGAGGAATTTAGCATATTTCTGGGAAATGCAGGTATGTGATTAGTACTACATATCACTTTCCACAGTTGACTCTGCAAGTGACTCCAAGTACGTTTTGAGCAGCGTTCACTGCACTCACGTCGCGGTTTGGAATTCTTGCATGGTATTTGATATATTAGGGGGAGGCGCCCCGCTGCATACATAATTTACTGCTACCATGTACTGTTAGCTACTGGAGGCCAAAGGCTGTTGATGAGGCTCTGATCCCGTGGAATATATATTATCTTGGTCGTGTGTGATTGACCCATTTCGTATTGTATCACTACAGAATGACTCTAGGTCTAATACTTTCACAATTACTTGATTCATGCTTAACCAAGTGTTGTGGTATAACATAGTTGTTACCAAGGATATTCCAAGGGTTTTATTAACCTTTGTTCCACGTCTGTATCGCCAGGGATCCGTGCTTAATCTCAAGTTATATTTTGATATCCTGAGGTTGAAGATATATCTAAGCTTTGAACTTTACTGTTTTATATAAAAAAAAAAGTCAGCTCATAATTATGAACTGCCCTTGGGTGGATTTTGCTGTCCATCTTTGTTTTATTGTGGGTTGTTTCCTTTATGGTGGCCTCTTAAAGTCAACTGGGGATTTTCCGCAGAATCTCATTAGCCCCTCCTTGGGTTTGCCGTTTTTTATTACATTTTATGACTTCCCAAACAGGCTTGTGAGTAATTATCCTTCAGCTGTCTTGTGTGGCAAGGCAGGAGGCAGGGGGGGGGAGACTCACCCTTTCCCATGCCCTAGCACTACATCCCGATCAAAATTATTACAAAAAAATAGGCAGAATCACTCTTAATAAAAAAAATTGGAAAAGGCATACAGTAAAACCTTGGATTGTGAGTAACTTGGTCTTCGAGTGTTTTGCAAGACGAGCACATTTTTAAAGTAAATATTAATTTGATAAACGAGCGAGGTCTTGCAAAACAAGTACTGTAGTACGTACAGTATACGCTTTGTCTGCCGAGCATCACGTGATCACAACGGAGCCGATGGTTCTTCTCTCTCGCTGCGGGATTGTGGGTAATCGTCTCCCATGCCCGGTCTGTCGGTGTGCCTCGTATAGTCAACATTCGTGTGAGCGTACAGTATACTGTTTACTATAGTGTTGTGATCACGAGTGTGTGCGTAAAGCATTTTTTTATTGTGTCCAAGTGTAGTGACTATTCTTTAGTAACTGTACTGCAAGAGAAAGTCATCCTACACAATAACCCTCCTCCTCTCCTCTCTCTCGTCTCCCTCACACCAGCCACGATTAAATGTAGCTAATAAATTCGATTACTTTATATTACATTTAAATAATACAAATATAAAAATGTATTTTGTATTAATCATTTTTATATGAATACAGTATTTTTGGGTTGTGGAACAAATGATCTGAGTTTCCATTATTTCTTATGGGGAAATTTGCTTTCATATACCAGTGTTTTGGATTACGAACACGTTTCCGGAACAAAATATGCTCGCAATCCAAGGTTTTACTGTATATACACGATGCTCTTCAAGTGAGAATATGTTTTCTGGCAAGAAAACAGGTCTGAGATCTTAAAACACCAAACTGAAACCTTTTACAAGAAATCATGTCTGCATTAACCACGACACTTTGGGGTCAGAATGCAAACAAAAAAGATACTCTGATAATATATGCATTGTCTTTGAAACTGATTGGTCCACACCAGAGACAGCTTTCTTTCGAGCCTAGTATCAAACCGTGTTAGACCAGAGGACACCAAAAGGCGTACTCTTCGAGTGTTTGTGATGAGATATGATACGAAACTCCGAGTTGTTGAGGCGAATAAGCAAGCACCATATACATGTTAATATTATAATAACATAGTGAAAGCTTGGGAGCATATTGGCTCTGGCTCCTAGTTAGAGATCTACCCAACCCACAGGTCCGCAAATACTGGCCGCTCTTACTCTGCAGGTTGAACTTAGGAATGGAGTGTTCAACTTCACGTTATTTTCATTAAAGGCCTGTGACAAAGGTGAATCTATTGGAGCTTCATTGTCTCAAGCTTACACATCTACAGGGTCTCCATTTGACTTTGTATTGTCTAAGAAGTCCACCCACACCTCCACTTCCACAAACTGCTGGGAGTTGCTTTGCTCTGCCTCACAGTCAGAATTCTCCTCCTGCTTCACGTTGCCTCCATCGATGTGAAGGTCCAATTGTAGAGTTGAATCTTCATCTTCACATTTCACCTTCACTTCTTCGCTCTTTACTGTTGCCTCTTCACATTTCACCTTCGCCTCTTCAAATTTCACCTTGATACATTTCATAGTGTCCAAGCTGGAATTCACTTCTGGTTCTTTTTTCAGGAGGGATGGGCTCATTGCAGCACTTTGACTTTCACAAGTCGATTTCAGACTACACTCCTTGGGGATCTTCTGATGTCTGTGTGTTCTCTGGTGTTGATGAAGAACTGATGACTGTGCAAATGCCTTCTCACACACGCTGCACTTGAAGGGTTTCTCTCCTGTGTGTGTTCTCTGGTGCCTTTGAAGATATGATGACCGTGTGAACGCCTTTCCGCACACAGTGCACTTGAAGGGTTTCTCTCCTGTGTGTGTTCTTTGGTGTTTTTGAAGATCTGATGTCTTTGCAAACACTTTATCGCACAAAAGGCACCGGAAGGGTTTCTCTTCCATGTGTGTTCTCTGGTGGATCTGAAGACCTGATGACCATGCAAATGCCTTCTCACAGACAGTGCACTTGAAGGGTTTCTCTCCTGTGTGTGTTCTCTGGTGGATCTGAAGACCTGATGACCATGCAAATGCCTTCTCACAGACAGTGCACTTGAAGGGTTTCTCTCCTGTGTGTGTTCTCTGGTGGATCTGAAGATCTGATGACCATGCAAATGCCTTCTCACAGACAGTGCACTTGAAAGGTTTCTCTCCTGTGTGCGTTCTCTGGTGTTTTTTAAGATGTGATGAATCTGCAAAGTGCATCCTGCACAGAGTGCACTTGAAGGGTTTCTCTCCTGTGTGCGTTCTCTGGTGTTTTTTAAGATGTGATGAATTTGCAAAGGACTTCCCGCACAGAGTGCACCTGAAGGGTTTCTCTCCTGTGTGTCTTCTCTGGTGCATTTTTAAACAAAATGAACTTGAAAATGTCTTCTCACATGAACTGCACTTGAAATGTTTTTCTCCCGTGTGTGTTCTCTGGTGGATCTGAAGATCTGATGGCCATGCAAATGCCTTCTCACAGACAGTGCACTTGAAGGGTTTCTCTCCTGTGTGTGTTCTCTGGTGCCTCTGAAGATTTGATGACTGTGCAAATGCCTTCTCACACAAAGTGCACTTGAAATGTTTCTCTCCTGTGTGTGTTCTCTGGTGTTTTCTAAGATTTGATGAATCTGCAAAGGGCTTCTCGCACAGAGTGCACCTGAAGGGTTTCTCTCCTGTGTGTCTTCTCTGGTGAATTTTTAAACAAAATGAACTTGAAAATGTCTTCTCACACAAGCTGCACTTGAAATGTTTTTCTCCCGTGTGTGTTCTCTGGTGGACCTGAAGACCTGATGACCATGCATATGCCTTCTCACAGATAGTGCACTTGAAAGGTTTCTCTCCTGTGTGTGTTTTCTGGTGTGTTTTAAGGGCGAATGAATCTGAAAAGTCCTTCCCACACACACTACACCTGAAGGGTTTCTCTCCCGTGTGTGTTCTCTGGTGTTTTTTAAGAACAGATGAATCTGAAAATGCCATCCCACACACACTACACCTGAAGGGTTTCTCTCCCGTGTGTGTTTTCTGGTGTTTTCTAAGAACAGATGAATCTGAAAATGCCTTCCCACACACACAACACCTGAAGGGTTTCTCTCCCGTGTGTGTTCTCCGGTGTTTTTGAAGAACTGATGACTCTGTAAATGCCTTCTCACACACAGTGCACTTGAAGGGTTTCTCTCCTGTGTGCGTTCTCTGGTGTTTTTTAAGATATGATGATACTGTAAATGTCTTCTCACACACAGTGCACTTGAAGGGTTTCTCTCCTGTTTGAGTTCTCTGGTGCCGTGTCACGCTTCCAGCATAATCCATGCTGTTTGCATCCTGGCCCCATTGTCGTTTTGTTCCAGGCTGCGCTGAGTGCCTTTGCTCCATCAGACCAATTCTGCTGAGGAAGCGTCGGAAGAAGCGTCAGCTGCAGACAGAAAAATATCCACACCATCTACGTCAGTATCGAGGCACAGAGGAATAAATATATATGCATAGTCACACGACTTACACGTCTATATTTATTCATATATTCAAGATATTCCCCAATCCATCACATGGGCTGTTAAGGCACACAATGAGAGGGCAAATGGTTATAAATATGTCTGGAGGCCCTAGTATCTTCAAAATAAATATTAACCCAAAACACCAAGCACACAATTTCAGCTGCCTGGCTACAAAAGCAATATTTATAAAAGCAAAATTCAGCTAACATAGCAAAGGCTGTTGAAAATAATACTATTTGCATTATGCAGAAATGCATAAATTAATGTTCAATTGCAACTTAGAGGTGTGAAGCCAGGCTCAGATTTGGTTGAATGCTTGGATGAACAGATCTAACTTCAGCAGCATATATGCTGTGTTAATTTCGTGACTGTTTCCATTCTTACAAAAAGTTCCAAAGGAAAACTAAAATAAGCTATTGTTTTGATTTAACCTCCACGTTCAATAGTTAATATACGTTACTGCAAATACACACTTGACACTGTCACACACCCGCATGGTACAAAGGTGATGGTGTGTCCAGAACCATGCCTGGCCACCTTCATCTGCTCAGTATTAATGCTTCCTCACTTAACCATGTAATTTATTTAATATCAATCAACATAGCACAGGACCACAATAAGTTCAGCTTTCACTTATCAATTGTTTGCTGTCGGCAATAATCAAACTAATTGTTGAATTCATAATGCAGTGAAATAACTGCGCCAAAGCTCCCCACAAAGATAAACTCTTAAATCCACATACATTTCACATGGATCATTACATCTTACCTATACAAGTCATTTTTGTCTGTTTTTCTGTCCGTCTGTCTGTATACGAAACTTCTGACGGATTTGACTCACGAACCGTGGGGTTGACGTTTAAAAAAGTACCCGGGTACCATGCGATAAGCCCCATGGTGAGCCAGCGTTAATCGTATTTTGCGTCCGTCAACTTTAAAGTAGTGAAAGTAGCAATTTAGTATAAGAATAGGTTTTCCCATTTCTTTCTGTCAACAAAACGGGTGTTAAGATATTAAAACACCAAACTGAAACCTTTTGCAAGGAATCATGTCTGCATTAACCATATATACTTGTTGTCAAAATGCAAAAAAACATGCTCTGATAGTATATGCATAGTCATAATAATAGGGTTGTTCCCCTTTTTTCTGGCAACAAAATTGAAACCTTTTTACAAGGAGTCATGTGTGCATAAACCACAATACTTGCAGCCAAAATGCAAAAAAAAATCACTGATAGTATATGCATTGTCTTTGAAGCTGATTGGTCCACACCAGACAGCTTTCTTTCGAGCCTAGTCTCAAACAGTGTTAGACCAGAGGACGCCAAAAGGCGAAGGAGGTCCCATGATATAACAATTTAGTACTATTAATTATTATATTACTACGCTGAGCGCGCGCCAAAGTACACATCTACGCATGCGCGATACTGCTGACCCGTGGTTGCCCCTAACAATGCACACAAGCTATCCGTGGAAGGGAGAATTTTTAATTCGCGTTCAAAATGAAAATAATAATACACAAGACTGAGGTAAAATTTTCACACTGTGATGCCCCCCCCCATCCCAAAGGGATGGTGGGAGAAGGGGGGGCGGGTAGCAGCCCAGCCCCACCCTGCCAAGGTGCCACCTCGGCCGGCTGGGAAATCTAGGCGAGGCCGGGTTCCCTGCATGAGACTAGGCCTTACCACGACACTGTTAATTCAGTACTATATTCTTGGTTCTTTCGGTAAAGTCACGTAGATAGAAAAATATTAATACAAAAATAAGTTAATTAAAATAGAAATAGTAAAAAATAATTTAAAAAGCACTAATGTAGATAGGCCTGGTTCTTAATCGGAGTTAAGTGTACTGGCAGTCTATAATGTAGACTACGTTTAGGGCCAGCCTAGCTCTAATCTCAGAGAGAATAAGATTGCTCAGCTTTAACTTGATCATTTAGACAAGACTCTTTTACAATCACACTTAGTATTAACAGATAAAATGCCCACATCTGATTGGGACCATATAGATAACATGACAGTTTCTTCAGCTACTTCAATGTCAACTAAATGTAAAGTTAACTTGATTGCTAAATTCAACCTCCTGTCAAAAAAGAAGCCCAAGCCACACGTTAAAAAGTCAGATGTTAACGAGATTTTATTCAATCAGAGTAACAGCCCAATCTCCGACAACATAAAATCGGTACTAGCTAAAGGGTTGAATTGCACAGTCTCTCCTAAACACATCCCAGTGTGTGATATCATTGCCAAAGTCGACATAGCCCTCAAAAGGTTTGCGACACATCCCGGCAGGCGTTGCAAGATCCGAGATCTTAAATCGCTGCTATCCTCAAAAACGCGAAGAAACCCGTTAGCATCAGCAAGGACGAGCGTTTTGAACTCGCTCAATTAAAAAAGAGAGATGACATTGTCATCCTCTCAGCTGACAAAGGCAATGCCACTGTCATCATGGATAAAACCACTTACAACAAAATTCAGGACCATCTTAATCATGGCAGCTATACCAAAATCAAGAGATCCCACCAACTGCCTAGCCACGAAAACCAACATCATCACTAATTTGACTTCTCTAATCGAACCGACCAAGCAGCTCTCTCTAACACCTTCGGCTGCTAGACCACCCAGATATTATGGCCTTACAAAAATCCACAAAGTAGGTACCCCAAATACTGCGACAGTCAGTAGATACTACTATACAGTCCATATATATTACTATGATCAGCAGATACTACTATAGTCAGTAGATACTCCTGTATAGTAAGTAGATACTACTGTCAGTAAATACTACTAGTCAGTAGATACTACTATAAAGTCAGTAGATACTACTGTAGAGTTAGTAGCTACTACTATAGTCAGGATATACTATAGTCGGTAGATACTACTATAGAGTCGGTAGATAGTACCATAGAGTCAGTAGATACCACACTAGTCAGTATACTGCTATAGTTTACAGATACTACCACACAGTCTGTAGTTACTGCTATAGAGTTAGTAGTTACTACTATACAGTGAATAGATACGACTATAGATTCAGTAGATACTTTCTTCATATTCTTTTGGTCTTTCGGTAAAGCCACGTAGATAGAAAAGTAAAAAAAACATAATCACAATATCACGACGTTTCGATCGCAACATAAGCAATCGTCATTAGGTGAGAGTTGCTGAAGCAGGAAAAAATATATGTCGGGAACGCTGCTAAGACAGGGATTTATAAAATTTTAAGATGGGTGTAGCCCAAAGGTCAGTGGGTGGGGCTAGAGATGAAATTTGCATGTAGATGTAATATAGGAAAAATGTTGATAAATGAAGCTGTGGGGGTGGCCATTGTATTGTGAGAGATTAGCATGTCAATGTAAGAAATTTGCTTGTAAATGTAATCTAGAGAGAGCTCCGATAGTAACATCGCCACATGGAGGTGGAAAAGGATGGCAAGCCGCCATTTACTAATACAGCTAACGGTGGCTGTGTTAGTGAATGTATCTCGAGAGTCGAAAATAACTGCTAACATAGGTAGGTAAGAAGGGAACAACACAGCCAGTTATGACCTAAACAAGTTAATAACATCCATAGAGTCAGCAGATACTACTATAGTCAGCAGATACTACTTTCCAGTTAGTAGTTACTACAATAGACTCTGTAGATACTACTGTTGAGTCAGTAGATACTACTGGAGAGCCAGCTACTATTGTAGAGCCAGATACTATTATAGAGTCACTCGATACAACTCACTCTATTGTATGTAGGGTGTGTAGGTTTTTATGCCTACGGAGGGGTAAACATCTTTTTGGAGGTTGCAAATTTTCAGGAACCTTTTGAATCAGCTATTTACCCGCCACTTTCTATTAGTTTTGGATTCAGGACTTCTTCAATGCTCTGACAATTTTGTTGATGAACAAATGGACAGACAAACAGAACACCGGGCACTGTCCCCGAGGGAAAAGTATTTGATCCCCTGCTGATTTTGTATGTTTGTACACTGACAAAGAAATTATCAGTCTATAATTTTGATGGTAGGTTTATTTGAACAGTGAGAGACAGAATAACAACAAAAAAATCCAGAAAACTGCATGTCAAAAATGTTAGAAATTGATTTGCATTTTAATGAGGGAAATAAGTATTTGACCCCCTCTCAATCAGAAAGATGTCTGGCTCCCAGGTGTCTTTTATACAGGTAACGAGCTGAGATTAGGAGCACACTCTTAAAGGGAGTGCTCCTAATCTCAGCTTGCTGCCAAACCAGAGCTAGTCGTGAACACATTAACCAGTTATGGGAGCTCCTCCAACCCTTGTAGAACTGCCTGATTATTCATGGAGAGTTGACCAGGTGCATGGTGGTATGACATGACATTCCCAGGCAGGTGATTTATTTTTGTGGAACATTTGCAAGGCCCCATTTCTTGATGGAATTAATTATCAAGGCACAGAACAAGAAGCCCTAATTCCATCTCATTGAGTAGCCATTACCAAATCATCAGCAGATGTAACATGGTTGACCAGCAGATAATAATCCTTTAACTATAACCAGGCATCGATTAGCATATCATTGTAACTGTAACAAATGCAATGGTTTTTATATGACCATTGGGTGCTTCTCAAACTACATAGTTATTTTAGATAATGTTATGCATGGGGCCAGAGTTAATTTTTGTCACAGACCAAGTTGAACAGGAAATGGCGACACCTGGTCACGCAGCTTTAGACCGTCCTGCCCAAAATCATACAAATCCTCAAATAATGTGAGCAGAGGCATAGCTTTGAAAACAAATAACAACCCAAAGACCCAAGCCTCTTTATGTTACTATTAGCGGTAAGTACCCGGCGTTGCTCCGGCGAAAAAGGAAGATGCACACATGGACTTACACACATACATTGACCCACACACATAGAAACACATCAACTTAGACGCACACACACACATATATGG